CTTCACGTTCTTCTTGCTTCTTCATCTTATTATATTCATATATATACAATTTATAAAATAAAATATGTTGTCCTGTATATGCAGTTACATGGTACATGAATATTGTATCACACAAATGTGGGTTCAACCAATTAAAACTAGTTAGCCGTTTGATGAAAAAAAAAAATTAAAACTAATTTTACGGATAATGATTAAATTTTAAACAGTAACTTTTCTTGAAAAATCAGGCAAATTATTATGCTGAAAATAACTACAAAGGGGGATGGATGTTAAAATTATTTTTTCTTATGCAATATTTGGTAATAATACTGGTTGTATGCCATTGATAATAATATTAAACTAGGACAGAACACATTGCCATATTACCCTCATCATCACCATTATAATCATCACAAGTGGGTTACAACAATATCGTCAAATTAAAGTTTCCAATCAATTCACGTAGTTAAGTACAAAAATCACATTGTCATTTCGTAAATGGTATGGTGTAAAGAAAGAGAAGCCATATCAAGGAGTGCAGTGCTTCAGTTATAATTGCTCCTTCATGGAATATGAAGATAAATTTTCACAATGCACATATTAAATTAATTTCAGGTTGATAACTCACGTAAAAACTCACTGGATTGACCCCAAAACCTTATCATATAAGGAAAATATAAGGATAATTTGATTAAGATATACTACATAGCCACACAAACTCCAAAATAAACAACAGAAAACTTATTACAACAAATCAAACAAGCACAATATTATTGTTTGAACTTCAGTTCTTAAGATTTATAATTAAGGAGTAGGCTTCAATGTGTTGGCAACATCAATCACAAAACGGTATCTAACGTCGGCCTTCTCGAGCCGTTCCATGGCAGTGTTGACATAATCGGCAGAGATAAGCTCAATATCCGCCGTGATGTTGTGTTTTCCAGCCATATCCATCATCTCTTGAGTATCCTTTATCCCTCCTATCAAACTTCCCGTTACCATCTTCCTCTCTAGATATACACAAAAAAACATAATCCTAATGTTATTTTCACACTTTTTTTTGTCACCATGTATATGTTTAAACCAAGTTTTAATCAGTAAAAAAAAAAAATTATCCCGCACATTTTTTTCTATACACAAAAATTTAGCACAAGAACGTATATGGGTTTGTTACTATAACCACATAAATATAGCCAAATAGCGACATAATGTGCTTACCGGCGATGAGAGGCATGACTGGAAGCTCGAGTGGCTTCTCCGGTGCACCAACCATAATAAGTTTTCCCTTAGGCTTTAACAAACCGAGCAAAGGAAGAAGCGAATGAGTAGCAGACACGGTATTAATAATACCATCCAACGTCCTCATTGCATCCTTAACTTGTTTTTGGTCACGGCTCACCACGAACGCATCCGCACCAAGCCGATTAATCGCTTCATCTCTCTTTCTATCCGAAGTACTAATAACCGTAACCTTAAGACCCATAGCCTTAGCAAATTTCACCGCCACATGACCCAAACCTCCTAGTCCCACCACACCAATGTGCATGCCAGGCTCGTCGAGACCGTGGTATTTCAGAGGGGAGTAGACCGTGATCCCTGCGCATAGTAGCGGTGCAGCAGCGTCCAATGGGAGATTGTCGGGGATACGGATGATGAAATCTTCGTCGCAAACCATGTTGTTGGAGTAACCACCGTATGTTATTGTGTCGTCGTAATCTTTAAATCCGTATGTTTGGATCATTTTTGGACAGTAGTTCTCGAGACCTTCGGTGCAGCTTTCACATGATCCGCACGAGCCAACCATGCAACCTACTCCGACTTTGTCTCCAGTTTTGAATTTAGTCACTTTGCTTCCTACTTCAGTTACCACACCAACAATCTCATGCCTGAAAAAAACAAACTCAAGTTTCTGACCTAATCTGATAGTTCTATACGTCATTTATAATTTTGAATAACATAGTTACGGGTTTGTAGATTTACGCTAAATATTGACATATATTTATTGTAAATTTATGTATTACCCGGGGACGAGAGGGTAAGTAGATACTCCCCAACCATTCTTGATCATATGCAAATCAGAGTGACATATTCCACAGAACAAAACTTTGAATCTAACATCCTTCTCTCCTGTCTCCCTACACAATAATTCCACCAAAATATGTTTTCATTAAAACAAAATTATATAAGATTAATCCAAAAATATAGATTTGTATATAAGATTAATTCATTCTTCTATAAAAAAAAACCTTCTAGAGAAACGGAAAGGCGAGAGAACTCCGGAATTGTCTTTCGCGGCCAATCCGAATGCATCCTTTCCCATAATCGATCAAAGAAGAACAAGAGTTAGAGAAATGGATTGGAGAAGTAAGCAAGTGTGTGGTTTTTTTTTGTTTAAATGTCACTAAAATTAAGAAGTGTAAGTTTATGAGGAGATGCAAGATCTTTAATATAGGAAGGGATTGTGGCACCGACGGAATCGGGAGCCATTAGGACCATTCACACTATAAGAGTACCTCAATGACTTGTTCTTTTCTTCCTTGTATATTGTCTTGCCTTTTTTAGAGGTAATAAATCTTTGACTCTACAAGATAAGTATGAATACATCAGGTATTAGCTTTTTTGCTAAGCATGCATGAATGTGATACATGCACAACTTTTGTATGAATGCAGCAGAGCTGTTGTTAGAATATGAACTCGATGTGCTGAAATTTTGAGAAGAAAAGTCGTCACATAATTGTCAAGCTCTTAAAGTTTTGATAGTAGCCAAAATGAAAGTTTATTGGTTGAAACATAAACCTTGCCCTGACCAAATGTAAATAAAACCATCATAAATTATTGACAAACTTTATTTGTGTTACCTTTCGTTAAGATTTTATGTTATAAATTAAATAAAAGCAATAAACTTTCATAACGAATATGTATATAGCTAGTATTAGAGCACTTTTTACCCACATTTATATAAATATATAATAACTCTAAAAATACAGATGAGTTTTGTTAATCTAAACTAGCAGAGTTTTGTTTTTTTCTAAAAAAATATTTATACATATAAACTCTCAGTGAGAGGACTTTCAAGCGAGATGTTATTGAATCTATTTTATAAAACCATATTACTCTTCAGTTCCACTTTGACTCTACAAGATAAATATGAATACATTAGTTGGTTTGCTAAGCATGCGTGAATATGATACATTCATAACTTTGGTATAAATGCAACAGAGCTGCTGTTAGAATATGAACCAGATCTGCTGAAACATAGAGGAGTCATCACGAAAGTTTCAGCTCTTAAAGTTTTGATAGTAGCCAAATTGAAAATGTATTGGATTAAACTTAAACCTTGCTCTGACCAAATATGTCGTATCTTCAACTGAAAAACTCCAACATAAATGATTGAACATATTTTATGTTAATAAATGAAACCGAAGTAATTTAATAACGAACATGTAACTAGGTAGTATTAGAGCATTTCTAACCCCCCTTCCCCTTCCCCCCTGGGCCGGCTCAATATTACAAGGGTCCCTGGGCAAATATCAAATTCAAGGACCCTATAGTTAGTTAGTTTCTTAAGTAAGAACTTTTTGACTTAACTGTTATAATCTACACGCATTCAGTTTTTGTATTTTAACTAGAGAAGTAGAAATGTCATGTTTCTATGCTGTCCAAATCTAGATCAAATATGTGAATCTTTAGAATCAAGACCCCTATTATTACTAGAATTAGAGCAGGCCCGGGGCGGTCGCACTGGCCGCCCTCCCTACTGAATCGCCCCTGCTTCCCTCCGCACCACCCCCCCCCCCACACACACACACAAAAACATATATATATATATATATATATATATATATATATATATATAATTTTAATCCTAAAAATAGATATGAATTTTTTTTAATCTGAATAGATGTTATTTTTTCAAAAAAAAATATAAATATGAACTCTCAGTGAGAAGAGTTTTATTTTTGTCCAAGTAGTGAGAGGACTTTCAAGCGAGATGTTAGTGAATCCACTTTATTAAACCATATTACTCTTCAATTCCACTTTCATTCTTTCTTCTGGAGTTTCTTTGAAACTAAAATGTTATATTTATTTTACCAAAAAGGCTTCTTTAGACTAGGGATGTATGAAAAATGTGCTTATATAATCCCAGTAACCATAAATTTGTCGTTTTTCAGTTCTATCTAATTTTCAGTTTCAAAGCATAATTCAAAATCCACACAAAACTGTATGGACCTCGTTCAACCACATACTCTATCTCTATGGACCTCGGACACCGGTACGTGGGGGGGCCATTGCAAGCGTTAGGAAAGCTATTTTCCCATATTCTTCGTATAAATTAAATTGAATAAACGTGATCTGACGAAACTCATTTAGTCTTTCAAAGTTATATGATATTGTCCGTGTAGTCTTTGTCTGTTCTTGTGGCATATGGAAAGCCTTGAAGTATTTCTTCTCATTTTACTTACTTTGCTCCCAAATAGTTTCGTCCACGCAACATACTCATAACTAAAATGTGTTTACACTGTTAATACTAGACCAAACGAATAGTTTGAATTTAGTCACATTATGGGAACGTGTTTACACAATCAAGAGACAAGAGTTAGTCTCCTAGTAAAAGACTGCATCAAAATCTTGGTGTTTTATAGCCATCCACGTAAGTCAAATCGTTTTATAGGTCGGACTGCTCAAACAACACTGCTTCTATCGTTCACACCCAAAATATTTCAACACTACCCCAACAACGGAACAAGACCAATTAGTATGAACAAGAAAATAACGTTAACTTTTACTTGTTATATTTTCATTGTCCAATATTTTTGAGATTTTACAGTATCACCAGTCAAAACCTACAATTTGAATTAAACTTCCCAAGATTCTTATTAATATAGCAAACATTACATTCAGGTAAATACAATTGAAATAGCGCAATATTAGTGCTACACACACACAACACGGTACTTTATTACAACAAGCTAAACAGAAAAGAAAGGCTTCTGGGGAAATTTAATTCTTAAGCTTTATAATTAAGGAGTAGGCTTCAAGGTGTTGGCAACGTCAATTACAAAACGGTATCTAACGTCAGCCTTCTCCAGACGATCCATGGCAGTGTTGACATAATCCGCAGATATAAGCTCAATATCTGCCGTAATATTGTGTTTGGCAGCCAAATCGATCATCTCCTGAGTCTCTTTTATCCCTCCTACCATACTTCCCACCACCATCTTCTTCCCTATATATATTAACAACCACAAATATAATATCAATGTTTATCAACTGTTATTAAAATTTATTAATGATAATAGGACTGAATATATATGTCAATACATTTTATTAATGATACAGATTACCAGGGACTACCCTAAAAATCTGAAAGCTAATTTTAACTAAAAAGATCAAACTTTTGAGTTTATAGTTATTTAACTGAAAAAAAAATAGTTATTTAACTGATTTCTTTAATTTTGGAGGTATAGATCAATGAAAATCATGTATTTTGTCAGTATTTCGACAATCCTCAAATTTGGCTAAATACAAAAGTCAGTATTTCGTCATGAAAAAATAAGCTTATGAATTGAAAATAAAAATCATGTGAGATAATGGTTAAAGAAGACTGCTCTTACCAAAGATGAGAGGCAGAACCGGAAGCTCAAGTGGTTTATAGGGTGCACCAACCATAATAAGTTTACCCTTATATTTAAGCAAATCAAGAAGCGGAAGAAGTGGATGCATCGCAGATACGGTATCAATAATACCATCCATAGTCCCCACTGCATCTTTCATCTGCTCCGGGTCACGGCTCACCAAGAACAGATCCGCACCAAGCCTACTAATCGCCTCGTCCCTCTTCCTATCAGAAGTACTGATAACTGTAACCTTAGTACCCATAGCCTTAGCCAACTTCACAGCTACATGACCTAAACCACCTAGTCCGACCACACCAATGTGTATACCGGGCTTGTCGAGGCCATGATACTTCATAGGGGAATAGACCGTGGTTCCAGCACAGAGCAGCGGCGCGGTAGCGTCTAAGGGAAGATTTTCTGGGATACGGATGATGTAATCCTCTTCACAAACCATGTGGTCCGAGTAACCACCATTGGTTATTGTGCCATCGTAGTACTTGGCTCCGGACGTTAGGATCATATTTGGACAGTAGTTCTCTTGGTCATCGGTGCAGGTTTCACATGACCTGCACGAGCTGACCATATAACCAACTCCGACTTTGTCTCCGGCTTTGAATTTAGTCACTTTGGCTCCGACTTCAGTCACCACCCCCACTATTTCATGCCTGAAACAATTTATAAAAAAAATTTCTAAGAAAACATTTTATGAAAATACAAAACAAATTATAATTTTGTATAAACTATAAAAAAATATGATATGTTATAGTATAAACTAAAAGTATATTTCTATGTATTTTTTATATATATAAAAGTACATACTACATATCTTTCAATGTATTTAACGGATATTGATTATAATATCAGAAATTCACGATATTTGGGTCCGAAATCTGTTTTGGCTTATTCTAAATTTTTTATTTGAATTTAAAATCTTAAGATATTCTAACTTTTTGAACTGAATCTCAGATGTAATCGATTTTCACAAATAACTCTATCTTTGATTTTGAGTATCTTTTGATATGTATCCTTGATACGGATCCTTGATCTTAAATATTTTCTTTTGCGTCCAAATTCATAATTTTAGGGTATCCTAATTTTTCTTTTGGTCAAAGATTTTAAGTATCTTTTATGTATTCAAATGTTGTCTTACCCGGGGACGAGAGGATACGTAGTAAACCCCCACTCATTTTTGGCCATGCTCAAGTCAGTGTGGCAAATACCACAGAACAACACTTTGAACCTCACATCCTTCTCTCCCGTCTCCCTATAAATTAGTTTCACAAAAACATAGTTTCATTCAATGGCAAAAAAGAAACAAGATGGATAGAGATCAATTCGTTAAAAGGGAACTGGAACCTTCTTGAGAAACGGAAAGGCGAGAGAACTCCAGATTCGTCTTTTACAGCCAATCCGTACGCCTCTTTCTTAAGAACCTCTCCCATTATGGATGATAAACAACAATAAGATGATAAGGTTGAGATAGTGAAGAGGAGGGGTACTGGTTTAATATAGGAAAGGCTCGTTGAATCGATACTGGTGAGGAGTGAGTACTATTCTCATTACTCGTGTGGACCATTTTCATTACTCGCTTGGACCATTTTCATTACGTATATATGATGTTTTGAAATTATTTTACCATATACACACTAGAAACCAATGAACTTTGAGACCATATAGTAGGTGATATCAATGATCTCACCTTACCGGGAATTTACTTCTGATGTCATAGTGAATTACGTCCATTATAAAGAAGCTGTACTTTGAGATTTTACTATTTGTTGTGGATTCAAAAACAGTCATAATAAGACTGATAACTCATAATTCTCGGCAGAAACAAAACTGAATGTATGGTATTGATGTCTTTCTTCCTTCGTTTTTGTAACTGTTATTGCTAGTTTCTCTTAAATTTTTATTTTCCCTCTACTGGATGATATAACAGGATCAGCAGTTTTAAAGAAAAATATTGCAATAGTACTGCAAACATTAATGATCGAATTTAACAATTTTATAATTACTGTGATTAAAATACCTTCATCGTTAATTACAGCTTCAAATTATAAACAGTGAATTCCAAAATTATGGATAATTTTTATGTGCAAATCATATGTTGTGAAATGCTAATTTTCGAATTTTCAAATGGATCCACACCTTCTGGATACTTGAAACTAAATTCACTTCGTAATTGTAATCCCAAAAGCCAAACTATATGTGTTTTAGATTTAGAATTGTAAAATTTCGACTATTTATCGTTTTCCAAATAAACGAAAATAAATAATGGGCTACTGAAATAATTGAAGTCTAACTCATTTAACTAAAGAATGGTAGTTGTGTGGAGGGAATTATATACACAGCAAAATCTAATCTACACGTGGAAAATGATCAACCACGCAATTGCAGACCCAGTTTTATTTTAACATATTCAAAATATTAACAATGCAAATACTACCAAAATATATATTACATATCACATGGGTTGTTACGACAAAAAAGGAATATCACATGGAAGGTTTTTCCTATCTCAATTCATTATAAATAATGTTTTTCTGTACTATTTCCTTCCATGTTTTTCATATGAATTTAATCCAACAAGTAAAACAAAACCGCAAAGAAAGAAAAACGAACATAACGAGAACATCGATGTGAAACCCATTATCTCAATATTTTTATGAGGTTGTCGCCAATCCTGAATATTTATAAACTGAAAACAATTTATAATATAAAAGTCTATTGTTGTAGCTAGAAATTGAACCTATTATTTACATTTTATTTTCATTAATCATTAAACCACTTAATGTTTTATCAAATATTATAGTCAATATTTTATATAAACAAGAAAGATCGAAAACCTATTTTTCCTTGTTTACCCACTGGGTCACTATTGTCTTAGAACATCTCTAAATGACACTCTATAACTTCAAATATGAAGTTTTTGCCTCTCCAAAAAGAATTCTAAAATTTCAAATTCGAAGTTTTGAGTAGTGAAACTTCAATTATAGGGTGTCACTATTCAAAACTTCAAATTTGAAGTTTCATATTTTATGTACATTTTGGTTCTTACAATTACACATCATATTTATAATAATCTTAAATATTTTTTATTTATCATTTTAATCTTTAAAATTATTATTTCATAAATAATTCAAAATTATATTTATAAATTTAAATTTTCTATTTTTTAAAAAGCATCAAGATAATCTTTAAAATATTTTAAAACTAGAAGTAGTCAAAAACAATATTACACGATATAATGTGGTATTTTGTTTGTACTTTAATATTTAATTATATATTTCTATTTATAGTTTTATATTATAGTGTAACATTTTATGAAATGATATTTCTATAATATTTTTTATACATGATAGTTATTTATAAAAATTTATAAATTTGAATTAGTTATGACAAATATAAGGACCATTATATAAAATACAAATAGTTTTAAAGTTATATTTGAAGTTTTGCTTTTGGGGTATAACACCTTCAAACTTCAAATATAGAATTTTGCAAACTCTATAATAGAGAGTCTTTTTAGAGATGCTCTTATCAGGAAGTCTTTGACTTTTTACATATTTTTCATTTTATTTCTAAGATGTAGTAGAAACGATGACAAAAAGGATATATGTTGTCTTCTTTTGCAAGTAGATCCATGACAGTGTTCACTAGGGCTGGACAAAAACCCAGATCCGAAGAACCGAACCCAATTTGAAAAAGTAGTATTGAATTGGAATCGAAATTGATTCAATATCCGAATGAGTTCAAAACTTTGGCATTTAATGAATCAAAACCGAACCCGTTCCAAACCGAAATATTTCAAGTACCCGAATTTATCCGAAAGAGATTTATATACCTACATATATTAATTATTTTAGATTAAATGTATATAAAAAACATTCAATATATATAAATACTTTGAAGTTGTTCAAAATACTTGTAAATATATGTCAATAGTCAAACATACATGTCTGAAATTGCTAAAGTACACTTAAAACATCGAAATTACTTAAAAAATTATTGATTCATAATGAAAATATTCAAATCAAACTAATTTATATGTTGATTATAGGTATTTTGAGTTATGATATTCAATTATTTGTAATATATTATTTTATATATAAATTTTTAGAAATTTAAAGTATATAGTCAATTTTATTTAAAAAAAATAAATGGGTTATCCGAACCCGAACCCGCAAAGATCCGAACCGAATCCAAACCGAAATTTAAGAATATCCGAATTGGACTAAAATTTGTGAACCCAAAACCCGAATAAATCCGAACCGAACCCAAATGGGTACCCGAAGCCGAATGCCCTAGTGTTCACATACTCCATGGATATGATTTCAATGTCTCCTTTTATACCATATGTTCAGCTGCTAAATCACCGCTTGCTGCCATTGAATAGATAGGCTTCACACCTCGCTCTTGGGCTTAGTTTTTCATAAACATTTGTCTTCTTTCCTTTTTTTTTGGTAGAATAACATTTGTTTTTTCTTATAATGTATTCTCTTCCAACATTTTTAATAATAAAGTTAATTTTTTCACTCTTTGGGGGGGGAGGGATTAATGGACTAAATTCTACATTGCCCCACTCACTACCATCTTCATTCTATTTTAATCCATCTTAAATTTGATTTTTTTTTTTGTTCAAAGTCTAAGTATGGTTATAAAATCAACAACCCTTAATGAATCAGTATTATGTGTAATCTGAATTACTAGAAACTACTTTGAATTACTATGAATTACTAGAAACTACTTTAAATTACTAGAAAACTACTATGAACAAAAAACAAACTACCTAGAATTACTAGAAACTACTACGAACAAAAAAAAAAAAGTGGGGCAGTGAGAAAAATGGTGGGGTAGTTAGAATAGTTATTTTCCAACTGGGGCATATTAGAATACTTTCCGGGGATTAATACACTTATCACATTCTTATTCGTTGATTTTTTTATGGGTTTTGGGCTTCTATAGAAATTTGTAAAATTTTTAAACGGTTTTGGTCTTCTACACAATGTTTAATATGTTTTGTTAAAAGGCACAGTAAATCGTCTTCTTCGCTGCGAATTCGGCCACATCTGACCTAAGTTATAGAGACCAAAGTCAGACGGTCTCTTCTCTGTAACACCTCGAGATCGCATTGATCCACTCTCCCCACTCTTAAGCATTCAATTGAGTTTATCCACTCCCTAGAGTAACCAGGAAAAACTCATACTATAAATATCTCCACACAAAGGATTCGGTTGAGACTCACCAGCAGTTAAGAAGCGTTATGGACTGGACCAGCTCCCGCAAATTCAAAACTCTAAAGCTCACATATGTTCTTTCAAACTTCTCAGATATCTCAGTAGTAATGTGTTCTTCTTCTTCCTTTATCCCTTTGAAAACATAAACAAATTCTTGCATATTAAATGTCATACCGTTTTAAGCCACTCTATTTATTATTTCACTGATTGTAGGTAAATCAAATTTTAGTGAAAGTTACTCACAAAAAAAGACCCTTGAAGCATCTAAGATGAAATACACAACTTGAGAATCTATCTTCCTCCTTTAACTGATCACTTCCTAACTTTATGGACCAGCTGGACAAAAACCGTGTTCTTTCTAGAACATGGTAGGATGCGTACATCAAAAACGGAAAGAGGTATATAGTAAATCATTTTCTACTGATTTATTTTGGTTCTCTTTTTTTTTTCTTATCTTCACCATCAACTAAACCCTAAATATACACCATGGAGCGAATTCTAGTTTGTGAAAAATGGATGTGATGGTAACGTACTAAAGCTGCTCCAAAAAAGGAGAGAGCTACAACTCCTTAAGACTACATGTACATGAAAGTGTGAGACTCTAACTTCTTACTAGATTTAATACAAAAGAAAAAAGGAAAGATATATAAAGATGGTGCTAAAGTGCATTATTGATTCACTTTTTTTTTGTTAAGCTTTGTACCATTAGATGTAATACGTAACCACTGGTCATTATAGAGCTTCACAACATGTTGGATGGTGAAGCCAACCAGACGACATCAGTTTGTAAGCTAATCTAAGAAGGCTACATGGAAGATTCTAGCAGACGCTATCTAGGTTTGCTTTCTTAGTTTAGACCCTACTTCTTTAATAAGGCTTCATCCAACTTGAACCGAGTATAAGCTGAATATAGTTATAAAGTAATTGACCCATTAACCACAGTTAAGGCACGTGTGAACAATGATGGTGTATTCATCGCACTTATCCAATACCAGTGGCGTCCAAAGTTGTTCGTCACTATTTGTAGTATACTAGAGATATGAGATCTTGCAGTTTCCACATCGAATAATTCAAAAGCTGATTTTGGCATGACACGTCAAGTGCTTTAATTATTTGTGGATGTTCACAAACTTAAAAGAGTTATCAAAAAGTGATATTGTACATTTATAGTTCTTTCGTATCTCATGTCCTCTTCAGTTCATACATAATATGATGCTCTATAGATTTATCACTTTCTTTTATTGATCAACTATCAAGTTTATCACTATAAGTTTTTGATACGTCACTTCATCTTTTCTTTAGATTTTGTACTGCAAATTGGTGTAAAAAATACATACTTACGTTAAAAATTAGATTTTACAATAGAAATCTGGCGCGTAGCGCCGGCGCACCCCTAGTATTTAATAAAATACTAAGTGATTATTCTACTCATGCGTGGAGTCAAAATTATATACAAAAAGATTGTGTGAATATTAATTTGGACTATTTAACTATTGTTTCATAAATTTCCAAACGTATAGTCATGTACCGTTAATATAAGATTGTTGAAAATCAGGTCATGTTGATATTTTTTAAACCTATTTAATTCACATTAGATTTCAATGATATCACCGGGATGTTACCATTCACATTAATTATATGATGAAATAACATTTGAGGTTCATGCTTGCGCGTAATAATATTAATCATGTATTGCTAAAAAAACATTAATTATGTATACAAATTATTTATACATATTATTATTTTTGTTAATTTATGTATTATGCAATAATAAATATATTAAATAATTGAGAATTAAGTAACTACTACGTATATAATTAAATTAGAGTAAGCACATAAAAATCTCTTTTTTATTTACAATAATTTTGTTGGTAAAAACAAAAACAATCATTTATCTATTTTATCTGCATATAAATAAAATTAAATAATATTGATATATATAATATATTTTAATAGAAATATTTATTATTGAGCTTTTGTACTCATATGATTTTATTAATATTTTTATATTTTCTGAAAAAAGTTTGACTTTACTAATATGAATATTTCTTAATTGAGGCTTCCTACTCTATGAAAATGTTGAAATTAACATTTTATGTATGATATTCAATTTATTTAAACAATATGTAAACATATATGTATATTTAATCTGATTATATATTAAATGAGACTTCATATTTAAATGATTTTACAATAAATTGTATTTTATTATAACAAAAAAATTTGTATCTTTGATCACAAAAGTTTCATTGTGGAATTTTAATAGTCTTAGTAATGTATAATCGTTAAAAATTCTAAAATATAGCATATAAAAAATCTAATTTTGTATTATATGGTTAAAGTGATCGTTTAATTTTTTTAAAGAATAGAAAATTAAACAAAATAATGGAAGGTACAATTTTCTTATCAAATATTTATTGTTTAAAATCATTAAGTATCACATATATGTTAAACATATTAGATAATTCCATAATTTTTATTTAAAAAAATAATTTAAAAGATTTTTTTGTATATTACTAATTAATTTGATAGTTTGTTTAATAAAAACTATAATATGTATTTAGATATACCAACTTTTATCTGAAGATTCTAATAATTATTGTGTTACCAAAACATAATGTAATACTTTTCAATTAATATCTAGATAATAATATTATAATAAACTAAAAATATCATGATGTGAGGGTTGTACTATTTTATCTATTACTAACGAGTTACATATGTATATGTTGTCATTTTATTTTTAAAAACACTATTACATGTGATGTTGTCATTTTATTTTCCGTTAAGAAACCCTATATGTAATAACTTGATGAAAACAAAATGAAGAATCACATTTTCGTTAACTTCGAAAGAATCATGTAATAGTCAAATCTTTATTTCACTGGTTACAAAAGTTATTGATTATTTATAACAAATCTTATTATTTTAAAAAAATAAACTCTCACATCACTCACTCATCTATTATTAAAAGATTATTATATGGCTCCGGCAGGACCTTCCAAACGAAGATAATCATACATAACACCTGTAAAAATACTAGTGACCCGATTTTGAGTAAGAAAAATCGTATTGTCACCAGCCTTAAGCAAATTTCGCTGAACGTCGATATTGAACAATTTGTATAACCCATGAATTCCATGTCTAGCGATCGCGTTATCCCGACCTACTAGCCCAGTCCTAAACATAGGTTTGGAGCTAGGATCGTTAACTCGAACTAATATATCGCCAGTGTTGGCTGCAGCCAAAGCCATTCGAAGAGTATAATTTCCATTGGACACTTCTTTCAACCTAAAAACAATTTTCCATGTCGTTGGTTCAAGTTTCTTTTCTCCAATTCTTCTGTGAAACAGAAAATATTTTCGAATCAATATATTAAGTGAAAATAAATTAAAACATTTTGAAATTTAAATATATATATATTACCTGTTGAGATGTGCAAAGAACCAATCTTTTTTATAGTCACTCTTTCCAACCGTAAAAGTAACATCTTCTTTAGGATACAATGCACTGTAACGATCCCATAGACCATATTGTCTAAATCTGTAACGTTACATAGATAAAACACCATTTAGTATATATTTGAAAACAATAATTATTTCTGACCGGGTGCTTAATTTATATTACCTGTCTTCAGGAGCATTTGCGTGATTAGCAAATAGTTTGGTCACAAGTTTTGGGTCCGGGTCTGGGATATTGAATTCTAAGGCGGTCCGATCCGGTACACCGATCTCCCACAGCGTCGGACCACTTCTTGGCGGCTGATACACTAAGGGTCCTACGTTAATCTCTTTACCTACGCGTAATGCAAAAAATGAATTATCTCTAGTCGGATCTGTAGGGGTCTTTACGTACACATGAGTCGCATGCCAGAAGTTACATTTTTTCATGCAAATAAAATAAATATACCTGGTGCGATGGTAATCTCACGCTCGTATTTATAGTCACCAATATGTCCAGGAACCCATGCGAAGAGGTTATAAGTCCCAGGTCTCACATTCGCTATTGTGAACGTCCCCGTTTTGTCTGCTTGTGTCCAAAATTGATATCCCTTTGTCGAAAATTAATATTTAATCAGTTTCAAAATAATAAAATAATAGTATTTTAAACTATTAAAAACGCTGTGAAAACATCCATAATGGTGATATAGTAGTAGTACACCAAAGATCTCTGAAAAAATAGAAAAATAGAAAAAAGGGAGAGAAAGCAGAAACTGTTTTTCCTTTAAAGACTCGAAAAAAGTTATTAGAGATCTTCATTCATGATGTGATTGGTATCAATTTTCAGCATTTAAAAACTTTATATCTAATTAATTGAGAGGTTCTTGGAAGAGTCCTACCGATAACAATACTCTAATATCATATAGTCCATGTATTAAGATCGTTGTATAACGAGTTACATAGCAAGAAATTATCAAATATCTTTTAGTCATCGAATTTTTTCATACCAATACTTAATTAAAAATAAAAATGTAATACCTTGGTTTCGGTTTGCCATGAAGCAACTTCACCAGGTAATGCTAAACCCACAAAAGCCAATTCTCCGTTTAACTTCGACTTGCTTTTAAAACTACAAAAAAAAAACAGAATTTCACACATTTGAATTTAAATGATGAGTATTATGTAAGACAATATTTGTTACCTGTCCATGACAGATAGTTGACCCTGGACTGTTCCTCTTTGTTGGCGAAGAGGGTAATCTTCTGACTTCACGAAGTCATAAGGCCAGCTTTTAACCTCGGTAGCCATCTAAACAATTGATTCAACAATATGTAAATAGGAATAACCCTGAGGATTCAAATTAATTGAATTCGGACGATAAGAAGACCTGTCGTTTAGCATCGGTCCACATGAGATCATGAGAGGGAGCAGAGTTGAGATAAGCAAAGACAGGACCAAACATCTTCTTCCACGGCACATCGCTTGCGTAAGTTGTGTTGAGTTCTTTTCCCGCATAGTGTGTACTTGTAAACATCTAAAACCCAATATTCTTAGTTAAATACCAAGAGAATACAATGAAATATATATCCACTGAATGACATTATTTAAATCATTTTTGTTTTGTTTTATAAAAGAAATAGTTGATAATAACACTACCTTATAAACATAAATTGTGTTTTAACTGAGAAAGGATGGACTCACAGAAAGTAAGGTGGGTCCAGTATGAGAAGTAAGTTCTTGTTTGACGGGCCCACAAGTACGGAACTCGTTGCTGGCAGTAATAATCCAGAAGCCAACACGTTGTGCAGTAGCGATCCAACCATGTAGTCTGTTGTCCTTGCCTTCCATTGAGTAAAGATACTTATCGTCAACCTGAGTCACAACCAATCACTTATCCAATGTTTAATTTGACTTATTTAATTGTTTAAAGCATAATGATTCCTTATTATATGGCTATGTATATTTTCACAAATGAACATGATTCCAGTGTAGTTTGGTATTAGCGGTATCATATATAGTCGGCGTTCAAAAATGTTTTAAGATTTATATACAGTTTTGTATTAATTGTGGAGTCGAAACTTGATTTAATATGAACTAGCTGATATGTGTAGATTTTGATATGTGCAACCGTGCCGATATATATTTTCTGTTTTCAGTTTTTGTTTGTATTAAATGTATTATTTCTAATATTTGGTCATAAACTTAGATTGAAAACTAAACTTTATAATTTAATTATCCTAATTAAAATAGTATTGGGTTGGGTCTTAATTTAATTTCCAAAATTTTAACACCTCTTAAAAATATAAATTTATAAATTCACAAAACATACAAATTATTTAGAATTTTGGTTTCTATTAAAATAAATTTGTGAAATAAATACAATTATGCGTTGTTATTGCTTATTCCTAGAGCCTGATCCATGACATATATAATCTTTGCGGTTATATTATATATTTAGGTTTTAAAAAAAATTATACTAACTGGTATAGTACATATTTTTAGATTTAAATTTACTCAATAATTGTTAATAACATTATGAAACATAACAATTTTATTTATTACACTGAATAATTATATTTTGTGATTTTAATCATTTATTATATCACAATGTATAATATAAAAAAATCAATATTTTTAACTAATTGGACTTATATATATATATGAATAATTTATGAATATATTATTTTATATTTTATTTATATATTATATGAATTTATTATGATGTGTGTGTTTTATTTTATTATTCATTACAAATAAATATTGAAAAATATTTAATAAAAAATATATTAAAAATCTATTGGGAAATTTATTTTGGTTAAGCTTCAATTAAGAAAATCTATTATCTAAATTAGAAACATATTTAAGTATAGGTTCAAGAAATATTTCAGGGGCCTTCTAATATAACTAAGTTATAAAACTAAAAAATATTTTTATCTTGTACTTTTATTTTAATAATAGAGATTAAACTATATGAATTTTGTGGATCGATTTTTATATACCTGTCCTTTAAATAATGGATTTTTTGGTTTTACCATCCGAACCGCTTCTTTGTATTCCAATGGAGCGGCACTACCATCGGTGAGATTTCGGTCTGCTTCGAAAGGCATTAGATTCTGTCGATGATCTGCTACAGCCATATAGTCGAACCTGAAAAATTGTTTCGTAAGAGACGAAAACAAATTAATCAACCACAACGTTGATTAAATTTTTAATAAACATAATACTTACTGTGTTCTGTTAAGCTTGTAGACGATTCTTGTTTGGTCCATTGTTGCTGCCGGCCAGCCTTTTAACCTCTCTAACACACCGTACATATACACTCCGCGTACACCTTGTCGAATAATATATCTGTTCAAAGAAAATTTATTTTAAAATTAATCTTTATCAAGAGCACGTAGCTGATGCTCTTGCTAAAAGAGCTTTGCTTGACAGCGTTCCTATTATGTAATATCTTCTATTAATGAGTCGGTTGTTAGAAAACAAAGAATTTATATTTAACTTATCAGAAAAAATAGTGACTTTTTTCTTTGAATATTGATGTACCTTTTATCTACGTTTAATGGGACTGTCTTGCCGCGTTTAGAGGTATCCCATGTTTTTGAAAATGATAATTCGACTTGCTCACTTGTTTGGCTTATTATCTTGAACTTTTCTCCAAGTAAACTGGTAAAACAAAATATTAATAGGAAATAAATACACATCTTTTTCCAAAAAGAAAACTAAATTTGTAAATAGGTATTATTTTCAGAGGATATATGAACAAAAATACAAGAGGATAGTTTTTAGCACTCACAAATCTGTCTGCGATACTTGTCCTGGTTCATACCATACTATATCCCAATACCTATATATATAATAACAGTAATAGTTATCAAACGAAACATTTGAATACTTTTCTCAAAAGCTATAGAACATTTTACCAAAAAAGGAAACTTATCGTACACACGATTCGCAATCTTTTCGTTCAACACATTGTCAAAGCCATTATACTTGATTCCAGTGACTAAGCCTGCTGGATTCGAGAAGGTGACTTGGATGAGACCATTATCAACGACCACCTTCAGACATCAACAAAACAAACAACAAATCTCATGTATAACAATCTTTTTGGACCGACGTATTATAATAAATTAAAATAATAAATCCTTTTATTAAAAAGAGTAAAACATTCGTTTAGTATATTTAAACCGAGTTTTAGAAGATAAAATATAAACTACGATCGTACTTCTTTATCTCCGGTTGTTTTAACCGTAACCGGGGCAGATGCGAGCTTTCGTCCAGATTCGCTTCTGTAATAGGAGAATAAAGAAAGAGAAAACTCAGAAGAAATACAATTAAACATGTTCGAAATGCTCGCTTGAATAGTAATTAGAAGTTGATTTGCGTGTCCACACAGATATGACTTTTAACTCTTTTTTTTTAATAAAATAATATTTGTTTTTAATAATTAGTTATTTTATATTTTAAATGTATCACCTTATAATTGGTTATATATTTGTTATTTGAATATTTTAGAGTTATTATTAGTATCTGAATGCAGTCTAATTTAAAATCCAAAAATTCAATATTTGAAATAAACAATTCATATCCAAATAAATACCGTAATACTCATACCTAATTGATTATTTAAACATATAAAAAAATTATTTAATCTTTTAAATTCTTATTTCGAGCGAAATAATTTCATTTAAGCATATCAAATTTTTATGTTTAACACATAAAATAAATTTTATTGAATTATTATATTCAAAATAATTAATCAAAAAGTTAGGAAAAAGGAAAAAATAAATGTAAAAGACAAACACTTAAAAATAGGTAATTATTTTTTTGTATTTTTGTAATAATGTTATCGGATTATTTGAAAAGTGATTATAGTTATTTGAAAAATACAATAAATAAACTGGTTAGAATTAGTTTAAAAAAGAAATAAACTATATAAGAAATTACTTAAAAATAAGTAAATATTGTTTTGTAATTCAGTTTTAATAGAATAGAGATGTAAATTCAAATGAGGAATATATATGAAATGGGAAAGAATTTAATTACTCAAAACATCTGAATTTTGAGGATAAACAAGATTTTTTTTAAAAAAATCGACAAAAAGTTCCACAAACACAAAAATACTAGAAAAACACTAGTGTTATGTATGTGCTTTCAATTTCTTTTTGAAATATTACTGGCGTATGACAATCGATAATCTGACAGATATAAGTTTATTGACTCGACTAAGTGAAAGACATAAAACAAGAAACGTACCCTAACGTTCGGGAATGAACACCTTGAAGAAGGAATATCAGAACAAAAGCTTGAATCATGACCCTACCCATCTTCATTGCCTGAGCTCCGTTTTTCATCTCCATGGCTAATTCACTGTACCTCCGACCAAGAAAACACAAGATCAGACAAATGCTTTTTTATCCCAAAATGATACTATGGTCTAAAACTATTTACACACTTAGTTAACATACTAGAAATGAGTCATAAATACGTACGTTAACTTATAAGATTTCTCTATTTTTTTTTTCATTGAGTTTCTTTGCAGTTTTAATTCTTATGATCGATGAGCCTTCTTCTCCACTGAAGAAATTTGTATCACTTGTACAGTATTTTTTTCTTTTTCTTTTTCTCTCTTTTTTTTTGATTTTCCAACTTATTATTACAATCTCTTATTAACCAAACAAGAAACCACTATGTTTTATAACTACGATCCAAATTGCAGGTGTATTTATTATCAAGAAAAACTGGTTATGACTGCGAGTTTTACTGTAGGTTCATGAAAAATTTGTGGTTATTTGATGAATATCTACGTACAGCCACAAAAATATTTTCTAGTTTTTGAGTTTGTGAATTGTATGTGGTTTCTATTCCATGATACCCATAAATAGCAAAAACTGAATTTACGTCTAGCCACAATTTTAATGGTAACTATTTTTTTATGTAGCCACAAAATGTTTATTATAATTAATTAATATCCAAGAAATTTGAAGCTGTATTGGTTATTAAATAAACTGTAACTAAATGAACTCACTCATCTTTTCTTAATTTTTTATCTATATTATTAAAACTTAAATAGAAATAGATTTAATTTTAATTTCAACAGATTTATTACATCTTTTCTTTCTTTATTTTTCATTCATTTTAACTACTTTAATAATTAAATCTTTTCAAATAATTTGACAACATTTATTATAAAATTACAAAATAAACTTACCTATTTTAAGTGTTTTATTATATCTTTCACATTTTTCACTTTTCAAATTATTTCTTTAATTATATTTACCCCAATAATTCGATGTTATTTATTTTAGATCATAATAATTTCATATATTTGAATGAAAATTTTCCAATAGTATACAAATTCAAACCAGTTAATAAAGAATTATCTTTTGTTTACATAATAAGTTAAAAACATGGGCATTCATGTACACGTTCGGATACATATCGATTTTTAGGGTACATAGTTTTTTGATTTTAAAATTAAACGCAGTTCAGGTATTATAAATTTTCGGACATGATATCAGTCGAAAGAATTCGGATAGATTTGTAGTAACCTAAAAATATCTAAATATCCCATATCTATATAATTTAAAATGTTATTAAATATTTTATAAAATATAAAGATTAAATCTTTGCGGATGCGCAAATCAAGCTATGTTTATACTTACTACTTAATATGGACCTTCCAAACGAAGATAATCATACATAACACCTGTAAACAAACTAGTATTCCGATTTTGAGTAAGAAAAATTGTATTACGACCAACCCTAAGCAAATTTATTTGAACATCGATACTGTACAATCTGTATAGACCATGAATTCCATGCCTAGCAATCGCGCTATCCCGACCTACTAATCCGGTCGTGAAAATAGGATTGGAATTAGCTTCGTTAAACCGAACATATAAATCCGCATTTGAGGCTGCAGCCAAAGCCATTCGAAATGTGTAATTTCCTCTTTTCATCACTGTTTTTAAATTAAACACTATTTCCCATGTCGTTGCTTGATATTTCTTTTGTCCAGAATATCTGTATTGTAGAAGATTATTTAAAAATCAAAAGATTTAAGTGAAAAAAAACATATTTGGACTTCAAATATATTTTACCTGTTGACATGAGCATAGAACCAATCTTTTTTATAGTCACTTACTCCAGCAGTAAAAACAAGATCTTTTCGAGGATACAAAACTTTGTAACGATCCCATAGACCATATTGTCTAAATCTGCATTGTTATATAGATAAAACACGATCTAGTATTATAAAAACTACGTACAGTGTAAATCATAACCGACCGGTGCTTAGTTTATATACGTACCTGTCTTGAAAAGAATTTGCGTTATTAAGACGGAGTTTGGTCAAGAGGGTTGTATCCGGATCCGGGATATTGAACTCTGCTGCGGTCCGATCCGGTACACCGATCTCCCACAGCGTCGGACCATTTCTTGGCGGCTTGTACACTATCGGTCCAACATTTATCTCCTTGCCTACATCAAAACAAAAACACTATGAAACAAAAAACTTGCCCTTGTTGTGTACCCCATTCTTGGGTATTAGCTAATAATTAATAAACTAACGGACATTAATGCTTCTCTTATTGGATACAAAGTGGACTTTACATAGATACGTGTTACATTTTTTTGTATGCAAATAATTGGAACATACCTGGTGTGATGACAATGTCACGCTCGTACTTATAGTCTCCAATAAATCCGACAACCCATGCGTAAAGGCTATAACTTCCTGGTCTCACATTCGCTATTGCGAACCTCCCCATTTTGTCTGCTCGTGTCCAAAATTGATATCCCTTTGTCCAAAATTAATATTGAAAAATAATTAAAAGCCGTTATTGATCAGTTTTGACTATTAAACCTTTATCTAGCATAAAACAAATATTCGTCATCGGAAATTCTCATACCGAAACTTAGACTACTGCCTGTACGTAGCATATAGCCGGAATGCTAATAGTTATCAAAACAAAATAATATATTTTGCATTATACCTTGTTTTCGGTTTGCCATGAACCAGCTTGACCAGGTAATGCTAAACCCACAAAAGCAAATTCCCCGTTTAACTTCGACTTGCTTTTGTAACTACAAATTCAGTGTTTTTCGTAATTACAAAATTCAGTGTTTCACACATTTGGATTTAATTGAGTATTCTGAAGAATATATTTGTTTACCTGTCCATGACAAATAGTTGACCCTTGACTTTTCCTCTTTGTTGGCGAAGAGGGTAATCTGCTGACTTCACGAAGTCATAAGGCCAGCTTTGAACCTCGGCAGCCATCTACACAAGTGATTTAACATTGCAAATGTAAATAACAATAATCATGATAATTCAAACTAATCGAAAGCACACGACATCCAGACCTGTCGTTTAGCATCGGTCCAAAGGAGATTACTAGAGGAGCCAGAGTTGAGATAAACAAAGACAGGACCAAACATCTTCTTCCACGGCTCATTGCTTGCATAAGCTGTGTTCATCTCCTTTCCCGCGTAATGTACACTTGTAAACATCTAAAAACACAATACTATTAACTACATCCGAATAATTAAGAGAGGAAAAATGAAATAGACTTCAAGTTTACTGAATCAGCATATTGAACTTTTGTAATTTCTATGTTCGAAATGGAGCTGCAGATTTCAAATTCAGTGAATCAACTTATTTTTATTCATTCACTTAAACCAAATTATTTATTTTTTTGTTTATTATAAAAGGGTATGGGAATTATAGGTTTCTAATTTTTTACATCTTATATAAAAAGGGAATACATCATAAAATTTTATATAGAAAGGAAACCGAATTTTCTTAGTTTTGGCTTAGGCCAGTCCAAATTTAAAATATGAATAATACATTTTGTTTTTGTTTTGGTAATTTAGTTGATATAATAAATTGTGTGTTTAATGAGAAAGAAGTGACTCACAGAAAGTACAGTGGGTCCAACATGAGAAGTGAGATCTTGTTTAACAGGCCCACAAACACGGAACTCATCGCTGGGAGTAATCATCCAGAAGCCGACACGTTGGTCAGAAGAGACCCAACCGTGTACTTTGTTGTCCTTGCTTTCCATTGAGTACATATACTTATCGTCAACCTGCGTCACAACCAATCACTTACCTTGTTACTATATTAGGAGTATGGTTTAAATATTTTATGGTTCATATACATTTATTTATTTTAGTGGAGTCGAAATTTGATTTTGTATGCAACTATCCATATAAATTATGGATCTAACTTCTCATACCTGCCCTTTAAGCATACGATTTTGTGGATTTATCAACCGAACCGCTTCTTTGTAAGCCAATGGCGCGGCAGCACCATTGCTGATATTTCGATCTGCAGCAGAAGGCATAATCCTCTGCCGATTATCTGATATAGCCATAAAGTCGAATCTGAAAAAAATGTTGCGTACGAGGGGATAAATAACTTATTAACCACAATATTTTTAGAATCAAACACTAATTAAAACTTTAATAAAACATAATTTTTTTTAAAGAATAAAAAAACATAATTGTTAGGAGTACTTTGTTGTCTCAAGCTTGAAGACGATTCTGGTTTGGTCCATCTCCACTTGCGGCCAGCCTTTCAACCTCTCTAAGACAGCGTACATATACACTCCAGAAACACCGCGTCGAATAATATATCTTTCCAAAGAAAATATTTTAAATGATGATTAATCTATATTTAATTTAATCAAACAAAATCTAGTAACTTCTTTTTTTCTGTTGCAAATTAATTTACCTTTTATCAACGTTTAATGGGGCTATCGAGCCTTGTCGAGTGATAGTCCATGTTCTTGAAAAAGAAATTTCGACATGCTCACTTGTTTGATTTATAATATCGAGTTTTTCTCCTTTTAAACTATTAAAACATAATATTATCAGGAAAATATATATATATATATATATATATATATATATTTGTTCACAGAGGAAATAAAAAATGCTTATGTAAAATTGATGATTATTTAGATTCTTAATGAACAAAAATATACGAACAGAGATTTTAACACTTACAAATCGTTGACAAAAAAAAAACACTTACAAATCTGTTTGCGATTCTTTTCCTTGTTCATACCATACTACATCCCAATACCTATATAATAAAGCCATTTTTCAAAAAAAAGAACCTATAGATAATAATAAATATATATCAAGCGAAATATATTAATACTTTTCTCAAAATATTTATAAATTTATAGTACCCGCGATCCTCAATTTTGTCGTCCAACACATTGTTAAAACCATTATACTTGATTCCAGTTATTAAGCCTGATGGATTCGAGAAGGTGACTTGGATGATACCATTATCAACGACCACCTTAAAACAACAACGAAGTAAGCAAAGTCCCATGTATACATTTTTTCGACCTAAGTATTCTACTATATTAGCCCCTTGTAGAAAAAGGTATTCTACTATACTAAAAGAATAAAACATTCATCAAAAGAATAAATATTTTAGTAGCATAGTTAAACCGAATATGAGAAAATGAAATAAAAACTTCGACCGTACTTGGTCAACGCCAATTTTCTTAAGCGTAACCGGAGGAGATGCAAGGTTTTGTCCCGGTTTGGCAATAGTTAATTTGTTTCTGTAACAAGAAAAATAAACAATTATTTCTTTTTTCAAAAAATAAAGAATTTCAATTAAACAAAACATAATCATCTATGTCTCTCTTTTTGTTGGTCAAACTTTTATCATCTATGTCTCTTCAATAAAAAAGTCACTAGAGTATGACAATCAATAGACAATAGTTTAACAGATATAAGTATGTAAGAACACGACTCAATGAAAGACATAGAAGTTACGAGAACATACCGTGACGTTCCGGAATGAACACCTTGAAAAAGAAATATCAGAACAAAAACCTGAGTCATGACCCGACCCGTCTTCATTACAGGAGCTCCTTTTTTCATCTCCTTCTGACATAAAAAAATGAAGATTATTTCCCAAAATGACAATCTATGGTCTACAACTCTTTACGCATACTACATTTAATACTCCTTTTGAAAAAATTTACTCGTTTAACATAACTACAAGTAAATCTTAAACACGTACGTTAACTTAGAAAAATTCACTATTATTATTATATTTATTTTTTGTTGAGTTCTTCTGCAGCTTTGATTCCCCGGAGAAGAAGATTACCTCTTCACTGACGAAATTATATCTCTTGTACAATATTTATATCGTTCTCTTTGATTTTGCCAATGTATTAAGATAGATTACAATCTCTAATTAACAGAAAGGAGATCATTATATATCCTAATAACTCAGATCAAAATCGGAGGTGTATTTATTCTGATTGGTAGTATATTTGTGTACATTAAATTTTTGAAATCAATGGTAAATGTCAAAACAAATTTAATCCTTAAAAAATTATATATCTCATTATATAAAATTTAGTTCTTTAAAGTTATTAATTAATATGATTGTGACACATATCAATAAAAACTTTAAATTACAACACATGTCAAGATATTTATCATAAGTATATAATTATCAATAAAAAAATCTATTGATAATAATTTTCCTTTGTAAAAGTCTAAACAAAAGAGAATTGTAGATAGACATTTAAAAATCAAAATTTTCTTTTGTAAAATTCCAATTCCACTTTTAAAATCCTATACAAAGAGAACTATGAAATAAAATAGTAGTTTCTACAAAAATATTAAACAAAAATGAATCATGAATAAAATTCTACAAATAAAAAAGTTACAGTAGAACTCTATAAATTAATACTCGATAAATTAATAATCTCTATAAATTAATAAATTTCGTCGGTCCCAACTTAGACCGGTTCAAATTTTGACACAAATCGATAAAATAATAAAATAATAATTTTTGGAAAATTTTATGTAGATATATAGTCCCATTAAAATTATAAATTAATAATTTCTATCTATACATATTTTATATAAGTAAGAATTCATCATTATACTACTTGTTTTAAATTCACACTGAAATTATCTTTATATTTTTTCAATACTTTATATTTCTGATGAGTTATAGTAATATATATCTAAAATCACATTTAAATTCTATGTAGTATATATTATATACACCAATAATATGATATAATTAATATTCATGTCAAATTTCAAAAAAAAAAAATAGTGTCTATAAACTAAAATCAAATATTTTTCTTATCTTAGAATAAATATATTTGTTGCCCAAAAAAGCACAATATATTTTAAAATAACATAAAATCTAAATAAATAAATTTTTGTAAATTAATATCTCTATAAATTAATAAAATTTTAAAGTCCCAACTTTATTAATTTATAGAGATTATACTGTATTTAATAAAAATACTTTAATATCTTTTATAAAATTATTTAATAAAAAATTAATAAAAGTGTGTTTACTTGTATTGGAGATAATAAAAATTAATTTTGAAAAAAATTATTAAAACTTGTTTAATAATAAGAGAAAATAAAGAGTGTTTAATCGTAGTTTTTCTTTGTTACAAATCCTAAACAAAACAAAAGAGATTAGTAAAATAATTTATTTAATATTAATTTTACTTTTCTAAAATCCTATAGAAAAGATAATTGTAAAAAAAAATTAATAGTAATTGTCTTTTCTAAAATCTTAAGCATTACAAAAATTGTAAAAGAGTGTTTAATAGTTGTTTTATTTTATTTTTTTCAAATACTAAACAAAAAATTTGTAGAATAAATATTTTAAGTATTTTTATGAATAATCAACTTTCTAAATTAAATATTTAAATTTCTATGTTAAAATCATAAACCAAAAAGAATTACGACTATTAATATCTATATATATGATTAACCTTTCCCCTAATTTATCACTTCTCCTATTTTGTTATCAGACATAATAAGAGATACAAAAGAAATATTAGGTGACTTTTTTTTTCATGTTCTTTCACATCTTGCAAAGAAGAAATGTCAAATGAGCATATTATATATTCCATAACTTTTTCTTAAATACATTAATTTTTCAAAGATTCCAAATCACAAACTCTATCTTAAAATATGTGTTCCAGCCATTGGAATTTAAATCAACGAAAAGGACTTTGCAATGGAACAAGGTTACTAATAACACACCTAGGACAAAAAATAATGAAGAAAAAATTCGAATCAAAACTTACGTGAAAAAACAAACTTTTATTCCTAGAATAAATCTCACACCAATAATACAAGATAATCTTTCCAACTGAAAAGACGTCAAATTGCTATGTGATATGTTGTATTTTTAACATATTACACACATACTTTACATATCATATTCGTGCTTTCCTGAAGTATTTTTAGTGTGTTTTGAGTTATTTCAGGTGTAGAACGAGTTGAAATGCACAAGAAGGAGCATATGGAAGAAAGAATGTAAAAATCAGAGTTTTTCATCGCGGAGCACCCATGCGGAGCAAACCCCATTTGCTCCCGTTCTTTAATGAGACCTCTGATCTATTTTGGGAAATATTCAAAAAAGCACTCATTCTCTACCCTAGCAAGCGCCGTCCCTCAAAAAGAATAACCCTGGCCGCCTTTACTTTTTTACACAGAGAGTTTAGACAGTTTTTACAGAAGAAACTATTTTGAGACTTTTTGTTAAAGATTTGTTCTACCTATTTTGTAAGGGCCAAGGCTTCCTCCTCTTGGTTTCTAGAGAAGAAATCCATGAATCCTCTTTATACCTTGATTTATCTAATGCATTATTCAGTCATGATTTGTGTGTTCTCTTGTGCTATGATTGAGTAGTCGATTTGTTAACCTAGGATTCTGGATGTTGATCCGTTGAACTGAACATAGATAAACATAATTCCCGCCTTTGTTCTCCACTGTTCTTACTGATGATACTGATTTGATCACTTAGTATTTGATTCCAAGTTTAATCTTTTATCATTAATCTTGAATTAGGTTGCTAGATCTGTTGAGAGCAAGCATCACATCCCTGGTCAGCGAAAGTAGATATCAGGGTGTGATGTTGGCATATTAGGTCTGTGCTTAATGTTTGGTGTTGAGTATTGATCCACGCGAGAGCATAGGTACCATTGCTTCTCTGCGAAAGGAGCACACCTACGAGAGCAGGGTGTTCTAGTTAAGAAATCTGAGTTCTAGGCTGCACTTAAAAAACTTGAATAATTGTTTGGTTCAACATGGTTAACACCCAATGAGACACCCTAGGTTGACATTCTTATATCATGAAATTAAAATTCAATTTAGTTATTTGTTTCTCACGATTTGCTTCTTTACAACACTTAATCGTTTTAGCTTGAATTTGATCATATAGAAATAAAGTGTAATATTTAGTCTCTGTGGATTCGATCCTAAAATGATACATCGATATATCATTTGATTATGGTAGTGTGCACATTAGGTTAATTGGTGTGCGTTTGCAGGTAATATCACTATGCAATAACTGTCAACAAGAACCAAATCCAACATTTAAATAAAATTGATATATATTTATTAAATTTAGTTTTCCTCACGGATCATTGTACGTCGGTAGCGTTGCCCTATCAAGAATTATGATAACTATACTTTAAATTTTAAACTATTTAACTACAAACTATAACGACAATAACATTCTACAAAGTTGCACTGTCAATGCTAATATAAACAAATTTGATACTTATCTACCAATATATTTGATATTTAGGTGATTAACAATAATATTTTAAACTGCGTTATTTTTAATGTCTTAAACAGTATAAAATATATAGAGTTTATACCAATTTTATATGTTTCAGTTAACTACAACAGTATTGTTGTGAAAAGTAATTAAAAGTGAATTATTTGGTAAAAGTAAAAAAATTTAAAAACTTTTGTAAAACAGCATAATTATTGAAATAGAACTACTAATCAAAACTTACCAAGAAGATAAATTATTAATATTAAATTAAGTGTTACATCAATATATACCAAAATTCAGAGAACTAATATATTTTCATCCATTTCTAACTTTTGTAAAATTAAAACATTAAATAAAATTCGTGTAACACAGATCCTTATCCAGTTCCTTAATAAACATTGGTTTTATGAATTTCCACTACTATTTAATATACTAGTGAGTTCTGATGTATGTACAAGTGACAACTAGTGTTGCCATTAATCTAGACTGCTTTGTTTATCATACGCACAATATTTAATTATGGGTATATTCTTAACTTTCATTTCTAATTGATTTACATTGGCTCAGTCTGATTTTTTTTTTTGTTTTATGTTCTTCTAATTGTTTAGCGAGAATACAATTGGTAAGTACAGATATGTCGTATTTTATTGGAATTAAATATAAATTAAGAAGCTATAAGTCTTAATTTCTAAAGGATGATAAATTTTTCTACACGGATAACATAAAATAATATAAATGTTTTGGACACATTTACTAATTGTCAATTAGTTTTGAGTTAGAAATTTATGAATTTCAACATAATAATAGAATATACAAACTTATATAAATACCTAATTATTACAAGATTTTGTTAATCTTTCTATACGCTTTGTAATCTGGTTCCTAGTAACTTATGTTTCCAGACCCAAAATGATGATCCGTAAGATTTATATTATTATTTGTGAAGTATTTTTTTATAACGAATTTTCATATTGAAAGTTAGAACGTTTAAAGTCAAAATTACATTTAATGAATATTATATATATTTATATAATTAAAAACAAACTTATATTAATAATATTATTATATTATATATCTGATCATTTAATGTAATAAATACATAAGAACATATTTTTAGAAATAAGATAATTCTTATATCTACTGTGTTTTTATCTATTAAATATTTCCTATTATAAAAATTAAAAACTAAAATATAAAAAATTTATAATTAAATTTAGATCAAGCAAAGATATTTGTATAAAAATATTTTTTTTAAGATGAGTATACCTACAAGTGTGAACGAAACACCTAACTAATAACTAAAAGAGTTTATTATCTCAAAGAC